AAATATAAATGAATTCAAATAAATTATCTTATCTAAAATGAAATGAAAATCATTTTTTTTTCATCTTAAATCATTAAATTTGCTGGAAATATATTCTATGTAAACCACATAACACTTATCTTTCAGTTGATTGAGTGGTTGCAAATAATTTAATGAGATATCTGCATGTGTATTTACCATAAACAGAGGAATAGAGGAAATTCGGATTAGATAAAAACGATCGTTTTTGGAAGTAAATAAGTCAGGTGGTACTGCAAAATGGATAAGATTATGGAGATTTACGAAAAATAGGAGCATGCTGCCGAAAATTTTTCATTGCTTGAGAATTTAATAGCAAAAAATGAATGAAAATACCGATAGTGATTTTCATGTATTATTACATTGGTAGTTTTAATTTTTACTAGCCCAAGGGGCTACCTCCGTACAGAAAACTACTAGCCCGACCCCAAAAAATGGTAGCCCCGGGCGTCGGGCGATGCTTATTGCACACCCCTGGTTTACTCCTTGTGCAATCACAGCAAAAACATGCATTATCTATAGTTTACATTTAAAGAATCATTGTAGAGGAATTTAATATATATACATGTATGTACACACAACTGTATATCTAGTGATTAATAATATTAATCCTATTTAGAACTTCATGACCATGCAGAAATTGTCAAAGTTGTAAAAAGTTTTTCTTGAATGAAGCTACATAGACAGTACTGATTACTGTGATATATGGGTTGTACTGTATAGTCATTACTATGTCTGCTGAGGTAATTATGGCCATTAGAGGGTGATTTCCCCTGATAAAATGGAGATGGGGTGTCTATGAGGAGTCTGATCAGGCAGGCTGTCAGAACCAGTACCACCACCATTAGTAGATCAGTAGATAGGACATCAGCTATTATCACCCTGATTAACTGTCTATTAACAAGTTAATTATTACTTGTTTAGTAATTTGTCTCTGTGTTATCTTCCCCTGTAAAACCCTAAGGACAGGATTTTATTCTTAGACTAGTTGAAGATGGATGTACAAGGCTATTCCGTTATGTGTGTTAGTGTTACATTGTATAGTGTTAGCCAATATTAGTTGTTTGGTAATGTTTACATGATATTTTCTTGTTAGACACATACTATAAAGATAAGTACCAACCTCCTATAAATTTAAGGCAAACAAAATAAGCAGGTGCCTTATAGATGGTTGACATACAGTTATAGCTGAATTATTCTATGTGAACTTCACATATGGGCTCCAGAAATATACACATTAGTTACTTATTTATATGAAACATCACACCTATGCTGTCTAGACACAATTTGAATATACACTATTTTGAATTTTTATTTTCAAGGGAAGTAACTCTAACCTCACAGGAGACTTTCCATCATCCACAATGGCCATAATGTGTGAATATTTATTTGTGTGTTTTACATATTTGTATGATAAATATGGATCTATGGCCTGTGTATATAACCACAATGACAAGCTGGGTATATTAACACTGAGAGTTGTCAATATTAGTTCATTGAATATTTTTGATGTGTGAAAACCAGTCATATGGTATAATAGGTCACTGTCATCCATTTGATCTGAGAAATGCAAATGCGAGTCTTTTATGATAGGAAGATTATCTTGTGGCTGTTTTATTGATGTTAGCATTGCTCAATTTTATTGATAAATTTTATTGAGGAGTGCTCTACCATGAAGTTGTTCTTCTAAAATTTCTCCTAAAATGTTAACCTCATTTTTACAAATTATTTAAATTTGAGTGAATGAATGTTAAGTGATAACTAATATGGACAGGATAAAAGTTGGCCCAACTTCTGAATTGAAAGAATTATATTTTTTTGCACATGAAAAGTGCTATGAAGCTTTGTAAAGATATTTGATCAGGCAAGTTAATTTAAAATGTAAGAATTTAGCCTTTGTACTTCAAGATTTCATTTACAGTAATTTAAGAAACCATCTATAAAAGATTGAGAAATGTAATCCAAGTCGCTGCAAAAAAGTGTTCATGAAATCCTCCTATTTCATATATATAGGGAATATATTTTCACTTGTACAAGATATAGCTCACAGAATGGTTCATGAAACTGTATCTGACACAGCTTAGAAAACTTTATCAAAGAATTCAATAAGTTCAAGTTGTGTATCGCAACTGCCAAGTTTACTGAGCAAACTTTTTAGAGAATTAGGTTTAATTGGTTGAAATGAATGAAATGTTATGTTACAGGATTGAATGGACGGAAAAAGGTGATCAAGTATTGAGTTATTGAGCCCGTATGACTATACACTCCCCCATTTGTGGCAGGTTCGTATCAGTATGTTCATTGTGAATTTCTGATGCACAACATCGACCAAGACTGCTAGCTATGCCATTCCCAAAATGAATTCAACATGAAAATAAAAAAAGAAATGTAATGCACACATGGACTTAATTGTTTATGCTATGAATTTAATTTTGACACTTATATCTTTTGACTGAATAATAAACAACTTGAAATTTTATGTTAGCTAAACTAGGTCAAACATATATGACTTGGAGAGTATGTAGTTTAAGATTTAGGTATTTTCATGATCACATTACAGTCATTAAATGCTGTTAGATGTGTAATAAATCAGTGTAAATGTGATTAATACATAAAAGAAATTCCTTCATGCATTCCCTTCAACATCAGCTGGAGAACTTTAGTGTATATAACTTAATGCTTAAAATTAATTATTATAAGATTACTAGTTTTAGATACTGCATGAGCTAACTTAGTTAGAATAATCTAACTGTTTCTCGGGACAAGCCCTCACCACAAACCGGGTCTGTAGGACAATATCATTTTAACGATAGAACATTCTATCTAGAGCTAACTTAGCTAACTTGGCTACTACCTTGCTAGAGAACTAAACACAAGAATTACTGAGAAGATAAAATATTGAACCCCCACCCCACCTCTAAGAAAAAAGGCAATATATAGATATCATAACTGTATAACTATTGGTACTGGGATGGATCTAGGATTTTTTCCAGGGGCAGTCCACATCATGGTAAGAAATGTCAGACTTGGAAATTTTTTGATGAGCAAAAAAAAAGGGGGGGGGGGGTAGGAGACAACACTTTCCCAAGTCAATTTTCTTCTGATAGAAGACTCCTTACCATTTTGAAAGGTATAGGTATTTCCTTATGGGGTTGGAAATGGGGGTCCATGGTCATTTTTTTTATTGTGTTTACAATTTAAAAATTAAGAAAATGTCTGCCCCTCCCCCACCAATCCACACATGTGGTAGAATATAATTCATGAAAATCTTTTTATGGGATATTTTTATGCACTTTTACTGACAACAGATACATTTATTCTACCCTTTATGAATCTTTTAACTCTAAGAAAGAAAAAAAAGTACATATATGTGTGTTTACTAATCGGTTTGCTGATTAAAATTGATAGATGACTTGTTCTCCCAAAAGTAATTACTAGATTTTATTGTAAACCAAAATGTTATGAAAATTTTTGACTTGTTGACATGGTGTTTCTGAAAAGATTGTGTGTGTGTGTGTGTTTTTTTTTTGTAGTTGAAAAATCTGTAAGGAACACAATGTGGTCTGTTTTCTGTAGCTCTGAATAGTATTCATCCACATATTACTCCACATATTAACTCCACTTGTATTCCATGTGTACATCTATCTGTTTCTTTTTTTGTTCCTCATGTATCATTTCTACAGTTTTGAGAGAATAATTAAATGAGCTAAACAGGAGATATCACTCAAGTCCAGTTTTTTGCTGAAATAACTTACAAGTAAATTTGTAAATGCTTGAAACTGTGTCACTTTAATTATGGATATACAGATGCAATTTGAATATTCAGATTAATTGTGTAATATTGGGCATTTTTTATTTTTCTACTTCTTTTCAAATGACCGAGAAAAAAAAAAGAAAAAATGTGTACAAAAAGGCCTAGGTACACTTACTCACACCAATGTATAATGTTTGAATTATGATTTTGAAAAACAAACATCTTTTAAAATATTTAGAATATTTAGTACTGTCACAGTGTTGAGGAAAATGACTTCAAAATTTGAATAAGCATATAGATATAAAATGCATTTTTAGAGCAGATTTAGTGTTCGTAATTTTTTTTTCTGAGTGTTCTATAAATGTCTCCTCCATTTTATTGCTTTTTGCCTTGTAATCAACGAAAAGTTTTTGTAATTAAAAGATGTTAATATGGTGCATTACATAACGAAAATGAACTAGATTTAATCAAGTTCTTTGAATTTCTAGCTCCAGTTTGTGCAAGATGTTTGATAAAAGATAGAGATTACTTTCTTATTAGTGGTTTATTGACATTTACTGATGATTTATAGCAATGTAGGGAAGCTCTTTTTTTTTAAAAGACCAAGGTTTTATCAACAGGTGGAATAGCTATATTTAATGTAATTTGTACGAATGAGCTGGTATCCAGTGTACATAATATTGTGTGGAACTTTAGCATTTATAGACACATATATTTGGGATTTGTTTCCATTTGTACCAAATAACCACCACCATTTGTAAAATGAGGTCCTGCTGATTTTTTAAAATGTTTATTTGATAGATTTATTTTTTACGTATGTAAGGTTAGGGGTATCAGGTGCATTGCCAAAAATCACCACAGAAACAGGTAAACTAGATGTAAAATTTTATATTCTGTTTAATGGATCAAGGTGATTATATTGACATTGACTGAAATGTTTGTGCTTCCAACTTAAATATCAAAATAAAACTTAAAATAAAATGCATGCTCTGTACATGCAATCATTACAAAGTAGTTATGATAGGACTTTTATATTATGTATTAGCAAGGGAAACTTTCGTAAGTGTTCTTATGAATCTGCCCCACATTCTGTGTTAGTAAATTCATACTTTCTTTTTTTTTTTAATGAGTCTGTATGATTGAGGGCAGTATAATGATTATAAGTACTCTATATCCAAATTATTTGTATTATTTTGGTACAGTGACACTAATTATGTTTTGTGTCATTATTTTGTAGAAGGAATGGCAGGAAACACTATGGCACTGTTAAAGGGCCGTCTATCCCGAGCCTGTTATCAGAGAGAGAGGGCGGCATATTGCCACACTTCACTGACTAAACTCTACCTGTGCGTGCATATTTTAAACAGTCTGAAGAAAAAGGCCTGCCTACTAGATTTTTTTTCTTGAATGGAATAAGGAAAACTAACAGGCTTCTCAAATCCAAAAGTAATTGATTAGTGGTGTTGGGATTTTTGAAAAATTCTAGAAATTGAGAATTTTTATAGTGTGAACAAATTATATTTTTATAAGTTGCATAGTTTGGAGATTTTTAAAGTATTTCAACTTTGAGGGATTTGATCATATGTGATGTGAAATTTGCAGCAGTTTCATGGAAAAGAAATTTTTCAATGTATGAAAAATACATTGAGTGATATTTTGAGACATTTATTTTATTGTCCAGTGCATTTGACATTTTTAGACCCCAAACCTTAGAGCTAGTGGTCTGTGTTTACCTTTGATTCTGCAGTTGTAATTCAGACTTGGAATGTTTACTGATTAAAAATACGAGCAGATTTGTTAACAACTTGACAGGTAAGACCACTCAGGTGTTATATATGTAACACTTTTTTCCCGCAGATTCTGCCTATGTCATGCTAGAGCTTTTGAAAAATGAAATCTTCAATGGGACAATGTTCATAGTGCCTGCAGACAGACTTTGTAAAGGATTGCAAATCTAGAGTTTTATCTTGTATGTCTTGAGCCAATTGTTTTAAATACTTTCTTTTGGTTTGAAGTGACATGGAAGAAAACTAACAGGATAGTTTACTGGTGTATAGGAAATTCTGATGAATTCAAAGTCATGATTTGGTTTACAGTTCAAACAAACATTGGATGTTCTCTGTTTATCTTAAGGACATATTATATGTAGACTTGTTTGCATATAGGTAACCTTATTAAACTAGCTGTAATGATATTGTGTATAAAAAAATCAGGAGAATTTAAATTATAAATGAATAAATTGCATTTGGTCAATTTTTATGCATATTTTTGGAAGGGGGTGGTGTGGGGGGTATTAAAGATTATAGGATATCAAACTGATAGACATAATAGACTGGTGTTGGAGATGGACTGCAGTGATACAGCTGGAATAAGATAATCCTTCCGATAGACTCTTGAAAGAAAAAGACCTGGAGCAGTTGCTTTTATTGTTGGAATCAGGTCGGAATATGAATAAAACTTTCACCACTCTCCATCTAATGAGCAAATGTGGGCAACAAATTTGGCCATGCCTAATTGGGCACAAATCACTTGTAAAATGTAGAAATTTCCAAAGAAATGGGGGAAAAATAATTGCTTGAATTTTGCATTCTTTTTTCAGGTACTGAATTTCAAATAGCCTGAAATAGTCACATTGACAATTTGAAGGGGGGGGGGGGGGGGACAGACACACAACAAACAAATGAAAAAAAAAAACACACACACACAAAAAAAAATAGCATCCATGTGCCTAATTGGCTAATGTTATAGTAAATTGCGAACAACTATAATATTCATGTCAAAGTTTCTCTGGTCAACATATCTAAATGTACAAAGTGTTATTATCTAGAAGTTAGTAACATTAAATCTCTAGAAATAAGTTGACATTGGAGACTAAATCCACAATCTATGTTAAATTGGATTAATTACTGGAGCCATAGTTTAAAAACTGAGGTGGTTAATTCGGTACAAACTTGTGCTGTTATGCAAGTAGTATTTGTTCAAGTCACTGAACTACTGCCAAATCAAATGTGCGATACTGCCACTAACTGTGAACTAATACAAACAGAAGTTCCACTTCTTCTTTTTTGTGTAAGAGGAATCACTAAGCTGCATATTCAGGGGGTTGTCTCTTAATTCATTTTATAAATCTTTTGAATTAGCAAAATTAATCAAATGTGGTTTAGTGGGATCCATGTTGATGTGCATTGCTTTCATGTTTCTGTAGGCATTATTTGCTGTAAGACTTGGTTAATGATCATAAGGCAGAGAGGGAAAAAAATGAGGTGATTACAATCCTTGTACACCATAGGTGCATTTCCAGTTTGATATCTAAGGAAATGAGGGTGGTTGGTTGAAAATCTTTATTTATTTTTTGAGAACTTAAAGATGCAACAAAAACATCAGTCTGTAAAACATCATGCAGGCTTGTAAAATTGGGTTAGGAAGTATGGAATATCTTCATGTTGATAATCAGTTCTGGATTTCTTTTATTTATGACTGATTTCTGCCCCTTCTTCCTGTGTGAATACTTTTTTTCAATCTATTTTAATCTGTCCTGCTTTGAAAATTTATAAGAAGTTATCCTAGGTTTTTATCCCTTGGATTTGATTTGGTAATTATCAACTGAGAAGGTATCAGTTGTTAAACTATGAACAAGTTACCGTTCATTGATTTTACCGATTCTGCACATCCTCTGAAATATGTTTTTTTTTCTTATCCTGTAAATCAAAGATTTGATAGTCATGGAAACACTTGGTTATCATAGAAAACTGCTGAGTTGTGTACAGTTCTTTAGTAGGGATGGGAATTTTGACAAGCCTCTTCAAATATCAGGATAGTGAATTATAGAAAACACAAGACAGAATGTTTTGGTCAACAGATTTGTGTTTTGACTCTTAAAAGAGGTAATTAGGATGAAACTTTGTAAATACAGGGATAAATTTTTTTGTTGTTGGATTTGAATCTGTATTTCAGCAGTTGTCAAGAACATTGTTTGGCACCAGAGGCTGGTGTGCTGGAGTTAACTATCTTATCTTTTACCTGCAAATCATTTAAACAGAAACCTGTTGATAGACATATTTTTTTTATCTACATATTTTTATTTTTTTAACACACTTGTGCACAAAACATCTCAGAGGAAGACTCGATCTATAGCATTAAAAAACAGATATACAATCATGAAGAATAATAAAAAATTAAAGATTAACAATGACAATCTCATATCATGCAATATCTTTAATAGATTGATTGAGTCAGAAATTGAAAAATTGAAAAAAAAATTACTTAAGTGTTTTGGAAAATTGATTATATGCCTTTAGATTTTTGTATATATAAATATGTTAAGCTTTTATCGTATTTGTAGGAATTGAAACCTTCCAGTAACGAAAAGGAAGTGATTGGTCTTTGTACAAAATTGAAGGCTCCAGAGCAGTTCAGACATCATTAAAGGTAATTATTTATAAGGTGTTACTGATACAGGTATCATTTATAAGGAGTGACTGATACCGGTAGACAGTTATTAGCCATCGTTTATAATGGAGTCTATGTCATGACAGGGGTACCTATGTATGCTAAAGTCACTATTAAACCTCCAGAAGTTGTGATTTGGTTCACTACAAGAGCCATGTGACTCTTGTGGTCTTTTATCAGGATCAGTATGTTTGATTGTATCTTGGAATATAGGGTAGTTTTTTGGAAGGTTTTTGATTGAGATCTGATGGGATTACCTTTATCTGCAGACTACTATAATTGTTACCTGAGGTGGTTAGTGATCAAATCAATCAAACACCTGGATTTTAACAGGTCTCAGCTTTTTTTTTTTTTATTTTGTCCTCATCCTAAGTAAGATGTGTATTAAATCTATTATACATTACAATGTGTTTTAGACTTTTTGAGGCCTTGGATTTTTTTTTTAAATCATGTGAAAAAACAGGTGTACATTTGCAAATATAATGTAGTAGCAGGTAATTTTACATATATGCTGCCACTTCTGTATTCATCATATCCTGATAGTTTTTGCAGACTGCAGCTAGAACATGTTCTTATATCTCCATGCTTGATGTATACACGAGAAACACTTTAAGAATTTAATTTCATTTAGATTTGTAAAGAACCTAGAAAACTGGATTTGAATCTGAGCTGAGAAGCTGTAGAACAGATCCGGATTCTTAATGAACGTGTACATGTTCTAACACTATATATCTGATTTCCCTGCCATCAGACTTGAGTGCTGAAACCAAACAAAAGCCTAAAAATTGTGTTTATTCATTTTGTGTAGGCAATATTTCACCTGAAAATTGAAAAGGAGTCTTACCATTCCATAATATATGCTTTGACACATACTTGAAAAGGAAGATTAAAATCAGATTATAAATATGTGTATGAATATTAAATCTCACGTTTATTTTTCTAACCTCAAAAGGACAAATGCTAGGTCATTAGTGGTTTATTTGCCCCATGGGGTTGAATTGATTGAAATATGTACATTATGTTTGCTTTGGTTTGATTGTTGTTTTGCAATGTTGTTTTGATGCAGTGGCTTAATTATGATTCTTATGCATTCTTCACAGAGTATTCCTCCAGAAAGAATTAAGCATAGATGTTACTTAACGTTTTTGCTTGAACTTCATTGTGTGTATATGTAATAAGCAATAAGGCCAATGGAATACCTCTGTCAGTGGAGACAGGGTTTTTTGGTATTTGTGACGGATGGAATACTATGATTTTTGTGATCATCTGTATGAATAAGCTTCGTGTCTTTGCATGCATTCTTGAAGAATTGATGCTTCCAGGCTAGTTCCAGCATGCAAATCCCAGATACACACCACAAAATGCAATCAATCTGTTTATTTTTCTAGCTTACTATTTATTGTTGTTGGGATGTAAAGAACATGCTACCAATTGTTTTGATGATCATCATGTATCTAACAATTCCCCTGAATGGCTCCATGAACTTTGATATAATTTCTTTTTATCTTTTAGTGATGTACAAATACATCATTTGCTTCTTTATGTCCGTTGAAGTCTTTACCAGAATAGACTTGGATATAAATTTTATTTAGAGAAATCAAAGAGACTTCGTTTTATAAAGGACAGGATAAATATATAATGGCAGATAACATGGTTTATAAAAAGATACTTATAGCAGGACAGACATAAAGAAAAGATGTTCTGTGCAGGTCATGGCTCTCAGTGAGGTCTTTATCTATTTTTTGTATCAACCTTTTTGTTATCAAGTGCTTCATACTTGAAATTTCTTATGTCCAGCCCTGATGAGTATGTTGTGGACATCCATTGTATGTAGAACATCAACCAGGAAAAATGTCCAAATACTTATTAGATAAACACAGTTGGGTTTCCTTTTTTTGCTGGTGAACTTGCATTCATCCATGTGATTTTATGTTTGTACATTAATGAAGGGAACAAATGTTTCTGCTAAGCTAACATGGAGGTGGGACAGTGGTTATGCACATGGACAATTCAGAAACTGAACACAGTTTGTCAATTAGTTCACTATAAAGCTTAAGTTGCCAATCAGACAGACAGATGGACACACAGTAGGACACACGGACAGACTACTTATCATGGCTGCTTGATGTATCAATAATGTTATATTGATAAAGTCTTTGTCATTTCAGTTTTGTTTCAGTAACTTCAAATATAGGTATTTTAGAGTTACAATGTAGGTATTTGGAGTTAAAATGTAGGTATATTTTAGAATTTCAATATAGGTATTTTCAGTGTACACTACAAAGGGGATATTCTCTTGAAGGCTCCTGTAGCTTAGTATAGAAGAATAAACAATAAGTAAATAATGTTTGGGAACTCGTTCACAAACTAATGCAAATTGAAGTGGGCATTTATTGCATTCTGTCTTTATGATGACTTGCATGCATTGCGTAAGATTAAGCAGAATAGCCCTATTGACTGCCATTTAATGGTTAATTAGAAAATTAAATACTGATGTGTCTGGCAAGTAAAATGGGGGGTTGTGTTTTATCTTATGTTTCATCTCATTGCAAGGGCAGACACAATATGTGGAAATGGGGGTATATAATGACTGTAGGGCATGGAATTGTCGGGGATTTTGTCTGGATGTTAACGTCACAAACACCTAACTAGAATTTATGAATGTCATAATCATTGAAATGTTTGCAATACTCCAAGTTATTTGTAAGTTGTGGAATATCTCTTCAATCTTTCTGATATTTTCCAGCAAAGATTGAATTATAATGACATAATTAGAAGCATCAAATTCTCTTCAACTTGTTTAGAATTAGGAACCTTTATTTGCACTGAAAATGGAATACTCAAGGAGAAGTGAGGAGGAATTTCTTCAATGAAATTGTACAATTTAACCTTGACACTAGAGATTGACATGTACGAGAGGATAAACCTCTTAATCAGGACTATGTTTTGCAATACACATCCTTCCACACAAACAGTTATAAGTTTAGTTATCGAAGCACTAATCAAGCAATTCTCACATTCTTTAAGTACATTTTATATGCCAACATCCTATTATCCTGTTTGTTTGCTTTGATTTGTGAGGTTACATATAATTTATCTCAGTGCTGGTTTCCTCCATACTTGAATACTTAGTAGCATTTTATAAGTTGTATACTGACTGTATAGGAAAGAGCATTCAAGACAAAACAGAAATCAAGGTAAATTTGTGGGGGTGGGTGTTTAACTGGTCTATCAACAACTTTAACATAAAGTTGCTTTTCTGTCAGTCTTATCCTTGGATTCATAAGATCAGTGTTTGCAAGGATATTCAAAATTTTATTAAGTTCAGAAGATTCTCTCCGTCTGACTTTTCTAAAATCTACAAACGACCTTGACTTACTTTCTTGTACTGTTACCAATAAGCCATTTCCCATTTTCTCTTTTACTACATGTATTTTCTGAGATAGAGTTCAAACAATTGCTTCTTTTTTTCTTCATAAAATTTCAGTTTATTAATCCTTCTTTAATAATAGTCTTGATGGCTGGACAGCTGCAGATGGTACAATGAATTTGTATATCTGGAGACACTGGTTTCCAAAATCATTCATCCATCAAAGTTCTGATATAGCTTTATTCTTTCCCATAGACGGATTGTTGACTTATTATTCCATGCTGCAAAAATTAAGCTGGTATAGAATCACCAAAACATATACTAGGTACCAATTCACAGCAATTTTAGTGGACCCTATTTTGTCTCTTTGATTTGAATATAGGGTGTAAGTGGTATTAAAAAGTGTAATTCACACATCCTATTTGAATTGAAAATATGACAGTGATTATCTGAGTTTTTAACAAAATAAGCCAATCCTATGTTGACACAATTTATGAAAATTATAGAAATTTAAACGTATTAAATTATCTGTCATAATTATTTGGTGGCAGATCTTTGATAATACCTGACATTATGTTATCATTAAATAAGTACAAATAATTGAGCACGATTTTTCAATTGGTTTGAAAAAGAGATGGCAATAATAAACCATACAAAATGGGACGTTTGATCGTTTTTCCTGATCGCGCTTTCTTTAAGGTATAATTCTAGCTTATGGTGACTCACTGAATATGCCTGGATTGGTTTGGGTGTGCAGTTACAAGCTTTATGGTCTGTAACGAAAAAGAGCAACTTGAAGCATTCCTTGGACTGTATGATTCTGTCCAAGTAATTGGCCGTAATAAAGACCAGATCTTCCTTCCAGACAGGTATTGCATGAAATTAAACTTAAAGTTTAACAATATTTACTCATCCTATTCATGTGCAGGTTTTTAAACGGTCTAATGGAAAGTAAGGCCCATTCACAAAAAAAAGCATGGAATACATTGTATTGAAATTAGTCTCAAAATTGTGTTACTTCATTTTTCGCTAAGTTAAGTTAATTGTTCGATTATGAAAAATTGTGCCACAGTTCAGATAGGCCGATAAATATTGGAGAACCTGTTCATGAATGAAGAAAGTAGAACTCTTTAATCCACTTGATGAAAACTGATAAAAAGGCATTTAAGCACAAATAAGGCTAAGGACTTTTGTTACATTCTTCATACTTTATGAATAAATTAATACCCATTTCAGGAGATATAAGGCATTTGCTAAATCCGGTCACCTGTCTGTATAATAAAGGGTTTTTTTTCCCTTGTATAACTAAAATTTTCCAGCTTATAGCTTATCTATAAAGGCAATTCACACTTCCACAAAAATTACAAGGTAAATACCATTTTAGACTTGGGTCAAACAAGATAGCAGTTGCTTCTATTGAGGTTGGGCTTTTTTACATTGTTCAGGAAATTACATTCAATGATAGACCAATAAACACTGAATGACCAAGAATATCTTTGGAATGCTTCTGATTTTTAGAGGATTTAAACTTAATTTTAGCATTTAAATTAAATAAAGACTAATCAAAAGCATTCACGTGTAAACACAGTTGCAAATAAGAGTTCGAAGGTGTGATACATCAATT